ACAGATACTATAGTATGAAACCTTACACTTTCAGGTTATAATGCCAAAAATTGAAAGGCAGTCACAGCAGGACTCTTGAGACTGAAAAAAAAAAATTTAAAAAAAATTCACAGCTGTCAATTATTTTTGTCTCAAATAAGACCAAAAATAAGCTAAAGGGGCACCGGGCTCTTTCTAGCATCAGTTGTATTTATACAGACCTGGAACAAGTTTTATTTATTCAAATCTGTTCCCAGAAGCCAATAGAAGAAATCTAAGGCTTGCTGGAGAGCTATGAATAGTCAAATGTTCTTGAGGGTAGCGATAGGTAAATAAAGGAAGACCAGGCACAATTGTTCAGTACTGTTTGATGTCAAGAAATTGCCATGGCTATTTAGGACGTTCTTCAAGCCCATATTAATTCATTAATCTGTGATTAGCTGCTGCTCAAAGGCTCTCTGCTGGTTGAAGTGTCACGGCTGACCTTACCTCTACTGTCTATTGACCTTCACTCAGTGCCTCTGCAGGCCTGTAGCTAGAATGCTGGGAGCTCAGCTGCCAGAGCTACTGGTGGTGCTCCTGCAGGTTCAGAAGTTCATCTTTCTGTGATTCTTTATTTCCATATCTATATCTATATATAGATATCTATATCTGTATATAGATGTTCTATACAGAGAGATATAGATACGGTGCTGCTGCGAGTTCTAAGGCCTGTCTGTTTCTATTTTCTGCATACCTACAGATAAACAACAAAACCAACGTGGTAACCAGCCCCAAGGAAAATATTCCTACCCCGGCGCTGGTATACCTGGAATCTTCCTTCTCATGCTGTCTTGAAGTCTTTGACTGTCTTCTGTCTGTTCCTCCTTCCTTTTGGCTTTTTCATACGTTTGCTTTCTAAAAACAGGGGTTTTTTTGAAAAAAACTTTTTGTTTGAATGACGCTTTCTTTTTTTGGTGAGGAAGTCCATTAGAGAGTGGTTATTAATAGAAAATGTTACGTGGAAGCTGGATGCGGTAGAGTCGTAGCATTTGTAACTGTAGTGGAGTTTTCTGCATGCTGTGCCAGAAAGTGAGTAGAATGCATTTTGTGTTGCTCTTGGCTCTTTGCCTGATGACTGTTTCCATCTTTTAAATGCTAACCTTTCGCACCAAAAAAGAAAACCCAGAAAACAAAACGCTGTCTTATTTTCTCTGCTTTGTCTTAATATGAGTATTCATATCAAGGACAGTAACAGGATTATTGCTAGGCAACCATAACATAGACCTTATTCAGATTTTCATTCCATATTTCCTCAAACTCAACAGGACTTTGCAAGTTTTCACTGGGATCAAGAGGCATCTAGTGTTAAACAGTTTTGCTTGTTTCTCTTACATTTAAATCTGTAGGAGACATTACTCATTAATAAGCTCTGCTAGGAACGTATTACTAATCAGAGTGCTGCTCATGAACGTTTCTATTGCAGTCTTGCTTTTATTAGTAGCTCCTGTTTCTTAGGCATACATGTGTCACAGGGTTCACAAATATAAATGCCAGTGCATACGTACCTAATTTTATGGTATTGTTCCCATAGGCTTGCATATATAGCTTTGGAAATGTGGGTAATTCGCACATGTGGGGAGACATTTTCCCTCTTGAGTTTTATGGGTTTCTTTTTGTGGGACTGGCACTATACTGGCACTAGGTCATACACTGCTCAGTCATTTCTAAGGACCACTTAATGGGTTTCATGCATGAGGATGTGGCAGTCTGTTCATTGCCATGCACAATAATCCACTCTAAAAGTGTGCTGGCTGGCTGCCTTTGTAAATACTACTCTCTTGGTTTTGAAGGGAAAAGGATTTGTGGAAATTACACTTTTAAATCACACAAAGATCTCATCTCACTCACTTTTATGCTGCTCTGCCAAGGCAGCAATTGGTATTAATCGATGCCTCCCAAAACATGGCAGTGCCTAGAGGTAATAAATTCATCCTTAATCCTTAGGGATTCATCCGTATCTTTATTTAATCATTTAATACTAATACAAGCAAACGTGCTTCAAGAAAAGAGGTGATATCTGGCCTCGTTGTCTGGCCTGGCTCAGACACACAAAACCCATAGTGCCAAAGAGCCTCTGCAGGTCTCCAGAGCTTCAAAGCCCTGTGTACATTGGTCCTGAATAAGGTCTCTGCATGCTGCTGCATTAGGTGAGATGGTCTTTTTTCTTTTTTTTTTTGCTGGCTTGCTGTTGAGGAAATCTGTATTACAGACATCCAGTTTTCATCCTCTGGCAACAGTTAACATTTGTTTTAGCTCTTGTCAGTGTTCAGCATTTGTGAGCTGGCTCTTCTTGCACTCCCTCACACTAATGAGAATGTATTTACCAATGGGAACTCTTTTTCTCTTTATTTTGTTCTCGCTCAGGAGCCCCAAACTACAGTAATCCACAACCCTGATGGAAATAAGGTATTCAGAAAGAATCAACTCCATCTTCCTTTTCCACACCACACATTTCATCCACTCTTCCACAGCAAAATAGGGCTCTTATCAAGGAAATCCTCATTCTTGAGTCTGTTACCCCCCGTGTCTCTTGAGCCTGTTTCTGTGTTCACCTGCTCCGCGTGTCCCGCTGGTTGCTGAGCTGCCGCAGCTCGCGGGGCGCGGGCGGCTCTCGGCTGAGCTCAGTCCCCTGTGCAGCCAGGCCTGGGGAGCAGGGGGGTCCTCTCTCGTTTCAGCCAAAAAGTGCTGCTGCAGTCTAAGTAAAACCAAAGAATGCTGTTCTCAGAGTGTGGTGAGATGACACTGACGAGTTTTCTGTGCAGCGGTCACCTTAGATAAAGAGGTCATTCCAGTTTGTCCCATCTGCTGCTCCTCAGCATGCTCCCACACTGTGTTGTGACGTGTCTTTTGCACAGGACTTTGGTTTTCTTCCATAACATCACTGAGCAGTTTCAAAAACATTTTAACGTTTCAAGTGATAAAGACTTTTTTATTTTTAATTATTTTTATATGTTTTCTTCATCCTCTTTTCTTTCTCTTGTGTATTGTGCTGTTAACGTTTGGCAGTTGATTCCTAAAATGTGTTTTGGTTTTTTTTTTCATGCATGGACTTGAAAAGGGCCAGGAAATATCATCATTTACATATAACACATGTTACTAGGTTTCCTGGAAAGAATTTACCCTACAGCAAATATCTCACTGTTTCTCACAGTGTTGACTTAAAAGAACTGACATTTCATTTATCTATTCTTAACAACTTGTGGTTATTTCCTATGGGAAGGATTGGATCCGAGTGAAACAAATAACGCATGCAGGCATTTCTCAAGCATGAAAGTGCTGATGGTGTGTGTTGTGCTTGTGTGTCCCATCCCTTTACATGCCTTGCATCTGTTGAACACAGAGCTTTTCTTTTCATGTTACTACTTTCTCAGCCCCCCAAGTTTAGACTCACAGGCACCAACCAGCCTGTATCTGAAACACTAGCCTAATCTTTAGCGCTGAAGTCCACTAAAGACCAGAAAACCCAGATAAAATATTGGCATGACTACATCTACTTGACTTTCTAATCATAGCAATTGAGATACTTAATGTCCCAAAAGGTCACAGCAAACAAGCAAACCACTTAATGCGGAGAGTTGCTCCTAAATTTGTCTGAAAGACTGATCGTTGTAGTATGGCAACTGGAGTGGATGCTTCAATAGTACCGGCTACATCTGCCGTGTGAGCTTGTGCATGGTGTTCACAACTTGTATTTGTGTGGGGGTTTTGTGTTCTTACAAGTACTTTTATCTAATATTTTAAGTGATAGAGCATGATACATCTGTGTAGAGTGAACCGTCTAACACCATCCAGTTCAGGAAGAGCATGGTGACTTGTTTGGTTTTGTTTGTGTGTGAATTAATTCATGTAGTTTTATTTATGGATGCACATATGTTTTGTTTTTTAAGGTTTTTTAATGCATTAACCATTTTGAACCTTCTTTTGGCTCAGCCTCACGAGGACACAGTAAATAAAGGGCACTGTCAAATTTACCGTTAGTTCATTAGTTGTTAAACAAAAGAGTTAAATACAATGCCAGTCCTATCTTCTGGCTCTCAGGTAAAAATAGACCAATTAATCCTTCTTGCTATTGGGCTGTGAATTAATAATAATATAATAATAATTTATTGTACTTTTCATGAAAGTATATAGGTTAAAAAAAAAATAATAATCAAATGTAAAAGCTTTCTGGCCCTCTAAAACTGTGTACCTATTAGATTTGACAGTTCCCTGTTGCATTTGCCTGTAATATTTCATGTTTCTGGTAATTCATGGAAGCCTGACATACAATAATCTTGCCTTTTTAACAGTGTGATGGCTGAAGTATAAACTGGTAGATGAGTCATTCCTCTGCATGGCTGGTTGGTTGAAGAACACTACTACAAAGTTACCTTAGTTTGTCAAAGTCGTTATCATATATTTATCAATCCTCCCTCTGCTTCACAAGTTTTTTTAGCACAAAAAACAGTATAAAAATGACAGAATCTGATCCAGTATCATTAAAATCACTGGGAGACTTTGCTTTAACATACATTGCCTAAGTTATATGAGCAGAAAAACAGTTTTGAATTGTAGCATGCAGAAGTCTGCACATTTAAAAGTTGGAATGGGATGACTTATTTTGCACAGTTGGTTTAATCACTAAGCTTAAAATGGCAAGCTCTCCCACTTGGCTGAGGTAATTCATGTAACGTTTCAGATGGTCTTAGTACAGTTGGATGATAAATAAATAAATAGACAAAAAAGTTTCCCATACATTCCTGTGAAGTAAAAGCATTAGCAGGAAATGTATTTCTGTTCCCTACTGTAGAGAATGGCAATATTTTACATCAGTTTCAGGTGGAATTGTCTTAATCCATGTGTGTGACCATTTGTTTGTGGTTTACATCCCACCCTGCTTCAAGGCTTTGCATGATCTCTGTAACTAACAGTCCTTTTCAAAGGCATGTGAATGAGCTGGGCTTGTTTCATACGTTCTACTTATATTTACTTCTCAACAGGAATCAACAGAGAGTTCCAACACCACCATTGAAGATGAGGATGTGAAAGGTAGGACTTTAAGCTTGAAACCCTTGGAGAGGCAATAGCATGATTTATCTGAATGTGTTTAATCAGGTCATTAAACACTCCTTAAGTGTTTAATCTTAATAAATCTTACGAGGGAACTCTCTTTCCTGGTTTAAAAGAAATTACTTCTGTGCTACTTCTGACATTTCAGTCTTACCTTTGACTTTTTATTTCCCAAAGCATTATTTGCCATGATGTTTTGGAATGAAGAAAATGAACTTACTGCTTATTAACTGACATAAACAGTTACAGCAATAATAGTAGTAGATTAAAAATGTGTGAGTAAGTGATTTGTAACTCTTACTGTATGTGTGTTTAGTATGTGAACTAAGTATGTGCTTGGGGTTTGGTTGTTTGGGTTTTTTATGTTACCATTTAGATTTTTATTTTGTTCAAATGCCTGTGGGTTTTTAACATTTATCTTTAGTTCTGTTCATACACATTTTTTTTATATTCTTTTATTTGTTAAAAAACTAAGTTGTTTTGTTTTTTTTTAAAAAAAATCAGTTCTGTAACTTACAGATACTGGTTTTGTTTCCTTGCTTTCCCCTGTAAATATTTTACTGGAATGTTACTCATACTTACCTCAATAACTCAATAACCCTTATGTTAAGGGCTTCTTAAAAAAAGAGTATTAGGTTTGTTTATCTCTGGCTCACAGAAAAGGTTGTTTTAAGCCTCAGAGAACAATGTTATACGTACAGGTGAAACTCAAGGCAGAGATGATAGAAAAAGAAAACATGCAGAATGGAAAAGAGATTTCTTAGTGCATCTCTGAAGTATAAGGTTTGCTTTATGTTGAAAGTAGTGTGATGCCCAGCTCACTGTTAAAAACAGAGTAGCAACATTATGCTCTAGACTACAGACTTGAATCTGCTAAAGAGCTTCCTTGGCGTCTGAAGAGCCTGTGAGAGTTTTAGAATTTAGAAGAGATTCGAACAGAAAGCAGTTAAAATTCTAGCAAAACTATCTAGTTCTTCATTTCTGACTGGCTTTTGGAAAGGCTGAGGAGCTCAGCTGGTGCACAGGCTGGAATCTGCAGCCTGCTCTGCTGCAGTTATTGGCTCTACTTGTGCATAGTTGATGTTCCCTCGGTGGAGAAAATATTTTCTCTCCACCACCAGCAGCAACACTGCTGTGAATGGTGACTGAGGTTGCTGTGTGAGCTTTGCTGGGTTCTAGTTTAGTCGCTGATGTTGGTGCTTTGTTCAGTGAATCATTACACCTCCCCTTGAACAGACTGGGAAGCCTGGGGTGAGTTAGCAGCAAGTACCCACAAAACAGCCTAGTGACAGTGGTTTGACTTAATGCAAAGTAGTGGTGTGGAGAACAATTCCAGGTATCTGCAGCAGCTGCAGGGGAAAATACAGTGTAATTTACCCTTATTCATAACATTTTGTGTTTCTTCCTTCAAACCACTGTGTGTAGTTTAGCAACTAAGCTCATTAAATGAATAATTTAATTATAGGGCCTCTGCGTGATGGTGTATCATGATGTTATACCAGGAGGATTTTTAGAAAATTCTGTCAGAAGCTTGAAGCATAGAATTATATCTCATGAATACAATTATAAGAAAAACAACATTGAAAATGTTTTGAAAAATCTTTTATATGGTTCTGTAGAATCACAGGGAAGAGTAGATCAGGTGGCCACGATGCCCTTTATTCCCCAAAACAGAAATTAGGATCTGCCATCACAGAAGATAGGATGACTGCCATCACAGGTCTGAGAGACAAGATGCTGGTTGTGTCCTTCTCCCTGCTGTAGCTTAGTGACAGATGTGAAATGCTTTGCTGATGAAGATTTCTGTCATTTGTAGGTTCCTGACCTGGTGCTACATATCAGTGATACAAAGGTGTCATGCTTTCTCCCCACCAAGAGTGAGAGTTTGAGCTACTGGTATGTAGGATGATCAGGATGAACCTCATGCACTGATGCAGCTGGTTCAGCATCAGGTCCATGGCCTGACACACAGCAATCCCAGTGCCCTGTTCCCCAGACACCAGGTGCACGTTTTATTCCAGTGTACAGGGATTTAATTTGCTGTTTATTTACAAAACAAATACAATCTCCTTGTTATTAATTGCTTGCAAGCTTGCTTGGTTTTCACTTTTTAGTATTCCTCTCACGTTTCCAGTCGTCCCACCCGAGACTGCTTTTCAGATTGTTTTATTGTAAATTAAAGCTAACAATGCCTCTAGGGGCTGATTTCTGGAATGATTCAGGGAATAGGCCATCCTGCAACCCTGACAGCTGTTACAAACTCAAGCTTGAGCCTTTACCAAGGCACTTAGGGTGGATATTTTCCCCCTACATCAAACTTGACTTCTGGATGTACATTTTCTAGGACAACAGGGAGAAAGCTGTTCTCTTGTCAGGAATGGCTACTGGCTGCTGCTGGAGGTCAGATACTGATGGGGACAAATGGATTCAAGAGGTAGCAGAGATAATTCTGTCAGTTTACTGACTATCTGGATCCTTATGCTGAAGATGATACTTGTCACCAAATTTGAGATCTAGAAGGAATGTTCTCCACCTTAGGTGATAAAAGACATTTAAAATATTTTTGCTATTCTGCTATTTTGCAATGTGGACTACAAGATGGGAAGAGGGTCTCTCTTTTCTGTGAAGGAGAAGGGAATGGGGATGCCATTCTGTAACTGAAAAGTAGTATTAGTGCATTTTTGACAGTAATGCAGGGTGACCCAGGCCTCGCAGAGAAGGTTCCTCTTTGCAAACACGTGCAATCTAGGAACCTTATTCCTCCTCCTGCTATTCTAGCACCATACCTAGGTTGCACAAACAGGTACAAGGTTCCTGCCTTTGTACAGAATACAAGACAACACATCTTTAAACCATTCAGCTCTGCATCAAGTGCTTTTCTGAATTTTTTTTATGGATTTGACTCTTTAAAGTTGTGTTGCAAGTTGTGTGGATCATGTGAGTCTGTGTGGGATATAATATCCCCAGCACTGTTGTGGTTCTGGATCTCTCCTTCTCTTGCCAGTAGCACAAGGAAGGTCAATTCTGTGACCTGTCTGATGTAGGAGTGACCTTTTCCTAGGGTCTGCAAAAATATGGAGAACATCTTTTTAGATACTTATTTCTTGGCCAGGTTTTATTAATTGTAAAATATGATCACCAGCTGTAACAGCAGTATAAATAGGTATGTATTTCAGAAAGTTGTATCTTGCAGAGGTAATTTTGCAATAGTTTTCAACTTAGAGATCGATTTTACTCTCATCTCTGGCTTGGATCCTGGAGAGGGTCTCAGATTAATTACTTGTATGTTTATGTATATCATCAAGCCACTTTGTTGATAAACCAACCTTTACACTGCTGTGACAGCTGTTAGCTTGCAGCATTGGTTTGTGACAACTGAAGAGTTTTATGCTTTGCTTTGGAGGAGATCTGTGGTTATTAGTGACCAAGTAACTGTAAAGGAAATGTTTAGGGTGAAGAGACTATGAGCAGATCAAATATTAGAGGAAAATATGTTGTGTTAGTAGCTTGTATGCTGGTAGAACATAAAAAACCCGGGTAGATGCATTTCCTGTTTATAAATTAACTCAGAAATTCTTTAGAGTAGAGGGACCTTGTGGGTTGAAACAAGGGAATGACTTCCTAGGAATTTAGGCTTTGCTGGTTGCATCCTGATCCTGCATCCTGTCTGTGTCAGGGTAGTTGCACTGGTGAAGCTGAGAACTAGTCAGGCCCTTGGAAACACCAGCTGGGTGTACTTGGCCTGAGCTCTATTTTAAATGTGAGAGGGATTTTTGGTAGGTGCAACTAATGCAGGTGAGAGGGGATTTAGTCCCTAAGGTGATGGGCTGTCTCCAGTCATGGCTGTTGGCAGGTAGTGTTGCAAGAACAGCTTCATTCCGAGGGAGAGGCAGGGTGGTATAAATCAATATAGAAATGACTGTAAATCAAACTAGAACTACAAACACCAACAGTGCAAACTGCACAGAACCTTAAAGAAGAGAGGAGTTAACAGGAAAGACATGGACCTGTATAACATTCAAAGCTAAAACATCAGTAACACTTGCCATAAGGCTTTTATTTCACCTGCAGTATATATATCCAGAAAATCCATTATGAACCCAAAGTTTTCAGACTTGAATGCTAGGAGCTTCACATATCCTGCTTCACTGGGTACTTAGTAGTGCTAAGACCACTGTTAATGTTTAAACATAGATGTTCATTACTAATTTTGATATCAAATTTAGGAACAGAGGCATCTCAGGTAATACCACCACCATTGAAAAAGGGGAGTGGTTTACTTTCCCTGAAAGAGTGCGGTGCAGAAATGACTTAGTATTTGTATACAGTGACATTTTAATAAATTGAACAATCTGCTATTTATTCTGTTCATTCTGTGACTTCAGAAACAAGCACACTTTGCCTCTTTGTTCCACATAATAAACTTCTCAAAAATCCAGGGCAGGTAGAGTCCAGTTTCAGGAATGCAACAATGATCAAATAATAATAATAATAGAAAGAGGTCTGCTATGAGGTAGGAAAAGGATTAGGGGAAACTATTCTGCTAAAGCTACTTGGTGGAGCCATGTTGGTGCTACTACATCTGGTAGTGAGCCCACCAGCTCAGTATTACTTACATTAGATTTACAGATTAGAAATTTAGTATTTGCCAAAACACTGGTAGGCAAAACAGCAGAAGATAACCCAGTATCTGAATATGCACCAGACTTGCCTGAATGGTTGTATCCTGAGGCTTCAAAAAAACTTCATCCCAAAAATGGGAATATTTAATTTCTTTAAATAATCAAGTTTAGTGACCAAAGTAAAGTGCGCATAATCTTACCTGTCCTCAACTTAGTTTTATAAATGAGCCATTCTGGTGTAATATGATTTTAGAAATGGCCATGATACTCTGTTTTGGGGTTTTTTTCTGCAGCTGTACATTTAATAAGAATCAACAGTCCCATGGCCTGAGAACGTTCAGAAAGCAAAAAGTAGCT